GGCCCCCATTCTGCAGGGGAGGCTGAAGAGCCCATCATCCTTGGCCCTCGATCCGAGCAAAGGTGGGGCTCGGTCTAGTTCCTCCTCCTCTCCCCTTGGGCGTTGATCCCATCGCTGTAATTCTGAGACCCTGAGGTTGATGTTCCTTGTTTTTTCTGAACAGTTGTTTTTCCCAGTATAGAAGGCTATGTCTGGGGCTTTGGCTGGGGGAGAAATCCTCTTCGCCCTTGTCTTGACACCAGTAGCACCATTCGCTCCTTCTCTCCCCCCCCCCTTCATGTTATCTGCTAGCCAGTTCCTGTCACACAGCACATCCCAGCCCTTCCTCAAAAACCTCGTGAGTCCCTCCAAGGATTGGAGGCCTCTGCTCATCAAAGAGGAACATGAAGGGAAATGGCAGGGGTGGGAGAGGGGACAGACATGAAGAAAAGAAGAATTTCGCTTTGCTTTTGCTGGTATTCCAATCTCCCTACCAGTGGGTTACCAAATGGAATGTGTAGGTGATTGAAAACTAGGAATAAGTAGATTTTTTTGTCTATTATCATTCAGACTAGGCAAAAATGTCCCCTGCCCTGTTTTGTCTTTGTTTTGGTTTCATAGAGAATGATTGAAATTGTTTTCTTAATGTTACAAGTTGCAAGTAAAAGATACAGTGTATGCTATGTGACTCCCAAAATATATCTTGATAGTCTTCTGAAAAGCAAAAGGACTGCTTTCATATTACAGTCTAATAGATGCATATTACAGTCTAATGTTGCTGGTAATCGTTGGTGCTGTGCAAGCTGGCTGGATAACTCAGTGAGTTGGGTTGAGAGTTTAATCCTCCATTGTGTCTCCTGATAGAAGAGCTAGCCTGTGTAGGACAAACTACACAGTCCCCAAGCACACGCACATACCCTGCCAGAAAAAGATACTGGTAGACTTCTCCTGATAGAAGAGCTAGCCTGTGTAGGGCAAACTACACAGTCCACAAGCACACACACATACCCTGCCAGAAAAAGGTACTGGTAGACCATTTCTGAGTACTTTATACCTAAGAGACCCTGGCAAGGGTCACCATTTGAGGGAATCAACTTGACAGCATGTAATTATTATCAAGGAAAAAGACTCAGACTGAGAATTACCACAATCTTGACATGTGAAATAATGGGTAATTGGAGAAGTTGTGTCCCTGCTCCCTTGGTGAGGTCAAGTCTGTGGAGCACATGTGTTTCCGCTGCTGGCATTATGCAGTAGCACGAAATCAGATTATTACCCCATTGATTGCAAACATCCCTGGCCAATCAGAGAAAACTAGACTTGAGTACCTCCTCTCGGATAGGGATAGTAAGATGAACATCCCTGGCCAATCAGAGAAAACTAGATTTGAGTATCTCCTCTCGGATAGGGATAGTAAGATATCATACAAGGTTCTGTCTGGCGATTCTCAAGTTTCAGATATTTCCCCATACAGTACTTGACTCTGGTATTGGTATGGAGGGTTTTGAATCGCTTGTATACTTGTTTGTTTTATGTCTATGTTGGATGCTTTTACGTATTGTAGAGATTGTGTGGATCTGGGTTGTCCACTTCTCTGTATGATAGGTCTAAAGACTGTAAATAAAGATTGATTGAGTAATAGAGTAATGGATCCCTCATGAATGAATCTCTATGTACGTACTGTATTTTAAGGGCTTCATATCTTCACTTTTCAACAGGCTGCCAGGTAAACTATAAAGAACTAAAATTACAACAGACATGACATTTAAATTGCTTTTAAAATGAGCAGCAAAATTGTTAGCAAAGATAAAATGGGTATGTACGATTAAAAAGATGGGGAATTTTTAAAAAGGTCTTGTCCAATGCAGACATTATATCAGGCTAGTTTCTAGGTTCCCTGGAAAAGACCTTGATGCTGGGAAAGTGTGAAGGGAAGAGGAGAAGGGGACGACAGAGGACGAGATGGTTGGACAGTGTCATCAAAGCGACCAACATGAATTTGACCCAACTCCGGCAGGCAGTGGAAGACAGGAGGGCCTGGCGTGTTCTGGTCCATGGGGTCACGAAGAGTCGGACACGACTCAACGACTAAACAACAACAAATTTACTAGGCGAACCTTCCTGTGAAAGCATTAAACGGTCAGATGCTATCTGTCACAAGCCCTTTCTCCAGTTACTACCTACCATACATTAGATCTCAGCAACCTCCAAATAATGATTTTGTAGACACTTCAATAAGTGTGTGTAGAGATGAGTAGGATTTCAGATATCCTGGTATGAAGACATGGAGGGGTAAAAAAGCCAAAACACTTTGATTTCAGTTTGACAATAAACTCGGATCTTGAGCAGTTGTCACAGTGCAGGTGAGATGTGGCTGTGACATTTTTGGACTGTTCAAAAACAACCTCATAGATAACATGTTCCAGTAATCAAGGAACAATCTGCAGATTGAGAAACCTACTTGAAGCATCTCGTGATTGAAAGTGGGTGAAAGTGTCTCCCAGGCTATGAAGCACCCCTCTGAAGGATACCAGACTGGCCAGTTACTTCTCTGTTGTTCTCTTTCTAGCAGCAAAGTCCTTTCTCTTCCAACAGGATTACGACATCCTCCATGAAATAAAATTTGGAGTTGTTCCTTGATTTATCATTGTCCTTGAAGGTGAAGGTTGACTCTAAAATGGTACAGAGCACCTTTTCACAGCTTAGGCTGAAGTACAAGGTCCAACTCCACTGTGGATGAGGACCTAATCTCAATCTGTATAGATTACTGTACCTGTATCGGACAGATGGCAATCTAACTTTTTCTTCAGTGCCTCCACCATTAGGGTGCTGACCTTCTCCTGAGATAATTGGTTCCAGCTGCATTTGTCTTTTTGTAAACTGTTTTAGGGCCTCATATTAGAAAATGGGATAAAAATAAATAAATGGATAAAAGTATTGAAATAGTGCTAAGAAATATTTGGCTTTCTAGATGTTTCAGACCACACCTTTGCCAGTCTTGTACTAGTCACTGTATAAGTTTGAGCTTTTCAGAGTTGAAGTCCAAATATCCAAAGATTCCGCACTACATGTCTGATCTTTGTATATTTACCAAGTGTTATTTTAATAGAGATGATGTGTCGTGACATTTCATAGCAAATACTGTAGTAGTTTTTGTTGCTACAAGTTTCTGCACTGGTCATTTTCCCATAAATTCTACCTAGCAACTAGCTGAATAGAATTATTAATGGACACATAGAAATGGGATAGATTTTTCATTTATCTTGCTCGGCATTAATATTTCAGAAGTTAGTCTGGTAGCCTTGTTAGTTGGGTTTGAGAATCTTGACAGTATATACAGTATATATAATTCTAACCTGGCACCTTTGTTTTTGGGTAGTTGTGCTAAATATGTAAGAAATCAGCTTTAGGCTGTATTCTTGTATGTATTTACCCAGGAGTAACCCATGCTGAAAGCGATAGAACCTAGCACATAAACCCATGCTGAAAGCGATGGAACCTAGCACATAGAGAATCGTCAGAAAGTCTTGTAAATATCAAATACAATCTGTAATTGTTACTGACAGTATTCTTCTTCATCTGTCATTAAGGAGATCTCTTAATGAAAAAGTAAATACTATGTGTTATAAAGTTTCTTGTGTCTTGTGTTATACTTTTAAATGAATTCCAGTTAAGTACATTAGATACTTTTTTAGATTTTATGATCAAGCTCATTAACTGGAAAGATTGCTGTTATTGAGGGAGCTCTGTTGTTAGTTTTCCTTGCTGTTTCTGTTTCTATAACCTCCCACATTTTGAACAGTATTTAAAATCTAACGAGAGCATGGCAACTTCATTATTATACTTTAGGTGTATACATATTATACATTAATAAAACCAGATCATTGTGTAGTTCAGTATTTCTTAATTTTCAGCTTTAAAGAGTTTAGAAGACTGCATCCTTGTATAGTAAGCTCTCATATTTGGGTTCATATAAATCCTTTAAAAATATGGTGTTATCTGCTTGTGCACTGAACTGAGAAAATGCACTACTATGTACCTTATACTAAGCAGGTATTAATAAGTTAATTTAATTTTTCTTTAATAATTACAGGCATAAGTTTCATGATATAGAGAAGAGGAAGGGAGGCTATCTGTTTAGCAGTTGGTTTTTTAAGCATAGTATTTAGCATCAAAATCAAATCAGCGATCCTTTTAAAACTAGTGTTAAGCTAGAACACACACACACCAGCTCCTTTTCCTGCTTTTACATTTTCAGCTTCAGTTTATTAAACTAAA